AGGCCTAAAAGGCTTGAGCACTACGGGGCTTGGTCCTGGCACAGCTGTGACCTCACTGTCAATTCCGGGAAAGGGCATCCTATTTAATGGATTTTGATGGGTCCCCTTACTGGGTCATGGGTGAAAAACTGTTTAAGGTGCTGCACAAAGTGTCGAAGTGTGGAAACAGGCCAAAGCGTCCACCCACCGTCCTGCCTGGCAGGGGCCGGATTCGGACAACCTGAGGATTATGAGCGGGGTGGGTGTCCCTGGCTTGTCTTGGAACTTAGGTGGCACTCGTGGATCCCAGGAGCCTCTCGGCAGTCAACTGCCTTGGTTCCTTCTCAGGTTGGAGGCAGGGGGGTGGAACCTCCTCTGAGCTAGAGTCATCAACCAAGATCGCCCTCTGGGGTAGCTGTGGGCAAGGGGCGGGTGGTGGTGCTGTTCTTAGGGGAACGGCTGCCTCCGTCTCTCAACTCAGCCCTCCTGTAGACTCATTTGCTGCCCAGCAGACTTTTGCTGTGACTAAGTCACACTTCGAGTACTGCACCCTGAAGGAACCCCCTATTTACCTTTGAAACCCCTCCATTTACATCCATGAATCACAGCTGGCCTCGGGAACTCTGCGAGAAACGAGGGTATCAAAGGCTGAATGATGTGCCTAAGACTTGGAAACCCCCACAACGCTGCCTCTGTTCATCAAGAACTTGGAGTTCCCTGCCTCAGTATAAAAGGGGGAAGGTTCTTTCGTGGTGTCAAACCAACCTTCTGGAGCTAAACACTCGTGTGGTGGAATCACTTATTCGCCTGACAAGTACTATGCACCAGACACTGGGTGAGGCACGAGGGGGGTAACAACGAGCTCACAGTTGGGTGGGAGACACAGACCCAAAAGCAGGAAATGCTATGGAGCAAATGCTCTGGGTGCTGCGGGAACATCGCAGAGGCGGGGGTGGGGGGGTGAAGGAGTCAGGTAAAGCCTTCTGGAAAAAGCAGAACAACCCCACCTTGTTCCTCTAACTACTTGGGGCTGGGGTTGCATTTTTCAGGCATGCAAGGGGGTGAGAAAAATAAGTTTTCATTTCCAAAGCTTGCTTTGTTTCAGTATTACCAGCTCCCTTGGCTTCAATAAAATAGCCCAAGAGAAGCTGCCCTCCCCCCTCAGACTACCCAGGTGTGGAAACTGATTACGTAGCAACCAGCGGCTCAATTAACCCTTGCCCCGTCGTTGATGACGTCAGGGAAACCTCCTGATGGTCTCCTTGCTAACTGCGTCCTACAGCTGGGAGAACAGCTCGTCTCCGCTGTAGATGCAGCCCTTTTATTTCTTGGCTGTGAATGAGACTGTTGGCACTTGCTTCAGATGACAGAAAACTGAATAATTCAGAAAAGTCCTCAGCCACTATGTTTTGCTAGAGTCTTCGATGGCAGTGGTATTGCTACACTGTCACTGGTTTATAAGCTTCATGAGAGGAGGACCCTCCCCTACTCATCCACAGCACTTTTAGCAGTGACGGGCACAGGGTGAGTGCTCAGTAAATATTTGTTGAATGAACTGCTATCATTTACTATCGGCTAAGGTCTTTAAATCTATGATCTCACCCAATCCTCATGCCAACCTTATGAGTTATGTGCTGTCATTAACACCCATTTTCCAGATGACAATGGCTAAGAAATATGCCCCAGGTCACTCATCTGAACAGCAGAGGTGAGCTCCAAACCTTCACTGGGACTTTGTACCCCTCACCGCTGTGATCCAGCTACCCTTGCGCACTTCCTGGTTACTGCTTTGAAGTAAGAATATTCTCAGCAGAAGCCTATCACCTCACACACAGTCCTGGGAATTGAAGAGGATTTTCTCAAATGCTTTGAACCCTCATGAAAGCTTCGTAAGACAAAGACAGCCAAGAAGAAACCCAGGGGTGAGTCTCAGTTATCAAACTTCTACACAGAGATAGGAAAGAGTGGGCAGGGAGGAAGCGGGCAGTGAATGAGGGAAGTTTCTATTTTCTGCCAAGTCCGTGCTTATAAATACTATCCTCTTAAAGTGGTTTCTCCAGCTCCCATAAGGAAGCCGCGGAAGTATCATCACTTAATGACACTGCCCTGGGAACACGGACATCAATACCAAATGAGCAAGTGATCTATAGCTCCTGTTGCTCTATGAAGCTGAGATCATGTTGTATAAACACTGCACAACTTTTATCATCCATCTTGGGCTGAGCAAAACCATATTTGCCCAGCACTCTGAGTAATGGCCAGGAATGGATGGATTAGAGCCCTTGAATTCCCGGTTGGAAGACATTAAAAGTTTAAGAGCCCATATAGCTGAGTCAAATGCATGTGCCCATGCTGTATAATTAGCAGGCACAACAGCAATAAAGATATAATTGAAAGGGAAGACCAGCAGGACGAGAACATGAACCGGCACCCTCCTCCCGGGTGTAGCCATTTCTCCCTTGGTCTTCAGCTGTGTAAACGGTCACCTGGCCGGCCATGGGGCTTCAGTGTGACAAAGGGTTTGGATCTCCCATTCCTCCCCTGAGCAATTTCTGCTTCCCTCTGAGGTCAGCTTTCAGGCATAAGTAATTCATTGCTCCTCTACTAAACATTCATTTTAGCTCATCTAAACAGACTTCATAAATCAGCCCAGTTATTGTTTACTGAGGCCACCCCCAGGATCTCATGTATAAAAAATGAGCATCCGTATTACTAAGTGGAAGCCAATGGTCACCTGGCCTGCAAGAGACTTCCCAGGAGACCAGGGGATGCACAGAGGGAGACTCTTGCTCCCAACATCCAGGGAGCTTTGCTCTCAAGTCATGTGGAGTCCTGCTGTCTTGACTACCAAGGCTTGAGAAGGATTGTTTGGAGTGGGGGAGGAAGGTCGGTTATGGGGTCAAAACCTCATCCTGTAAAGAAAATCCCAAGGAGTGATGACCCTAGCCAAGAAATGGCACTTTGGGATAAGCCCTTCAGTGGAAGACACCTGTGTTCTAGCAATTTCTGGCTACTCTATCTACATTTTCAGGGGACCCTGGAGAGGCAGCTGTTCCTCCTAGCTTCAATTTGCAGTTGGAAAAACTGAGAAGTTCCTCAACCTGCTGGGCACCAGCTGTGCACGAAGGGCATTTTTGGTTAGGTCTGGCACCTACTGTTCCATTTTTGTTCTAGTCTGGTTTGCAGGCTTGGGGCGTCAGTCTTTTCTCCTAGGGGGTTTACTTCTTTGAGCTCAGTCTGGGCCTCCCCCTCAGCCCAAAGTACAGGACTCTCCCCGGGCTAGGACAGTGGGTGGAAACCCCCATGTCCCCCACTTCCTCTCCTGGAGCTCATGTTCCCGGTGTTGATACCACAAACCCAGGACGCAAAGCACAATTATCAGCTGTGACATCATCAACACAGACTCCGGGCTGACCTCAACTCTGATCTAAGAGGAGGAAAATTAAAAGGCAAACGCTCTTCCATGCCAGGCATCTCCTCTGGTGGTGCCAGAATTAAAACCAAAACCAAGGAAGGGCTAAGCAAAAGCCATGCTGCTACATACAGACTATCTTCAAAATGAGGCCTGAGATGTCAGCTGCCATCCCTGGAAACTCTGCTAATAAAAACGAAGCTGTTTTCCTCCCCCTCTGATGGCTAAAAGCTTGAACTCTGGAGCCTACCTCGCCTCAAATTCCAGCTTTGTCACTAAGTATCTGTGTAATTTTGGGTAAATTGCTTAACTGGTGTGTACCTTGGTTTCCCCAGCAGTATAACGAGAATAAGACTATAGGGTACCTACCTTATTGGGTTGCTGGGATTTCCTGGGTTAACACACAAAATGCTAAGAACAGCAATGACATACTGTTAAGTGCTCACTTAAAATTTTAGCTACTTGATGTCAAACCACATTTACATTTGACTCCCCTTTCAGTACCCACCTGGCCTCGTCCCCGGACTACTTGCTTGCCACTGAAGGCTGTTCCCAAAATGGCCTTCCAATCAGATTGCAAGGATGTCTGGCCATAGTACCATTCTAAGTAATTTATGGTTTGCTGACTTCTGAAATTGGAGTCTGGTAGGCAGTTTGCTGTTAAACGTATGTCACACCCTAACCTTACCAGGGAGAAGGTCAAGTGCTTCCCTTCTACCCTTTGCACTGAAGCCCCGTCCTCCTTCAGAGAAATGCAACTAAGTACTCAGTGCAGTTCCTTTCTCAGAATGCACATCATGCAGTTTCCTATCCCCCACACCTCTTCCCCACTCGCCAGTTTACTGGGTCATCTTTTCTTTCAGGAAAGCCCATAAGATTGTGCATTTAATACAACACACGGGGCTTTAATCAATTGCTCACTTGACTGGTGACAGCTTAAGAAGTTCAGGCCCCTGGGAGCCCGTATGTGGTTCTCTTTCTGGAAAGGGGATTCAGGAGTCACCAGCTTCCACTGGCCTGAGCACAGGCAGTTAAGAACCCACCAGAACTTCTCCGCCTTCCAGGAGAAGGCCTGAAGTGTACATCCTTCAACCCAGCAAAGCCCAAGGCAGCTGCACCTGATCCTGGCTTTCCTGTCCCCTTCTTCCCATCCTACTGCCTGGATGGACCCTCTGGCTGCTGCTATTGGGCTGGAGAGATCTAGGGTCAGAGCCACGGTCGATCTGCTCCGCTGTTGGGGAAAGACCATGCGAGACACGCAGCCCAGCAAGGCAAAGAGCGGCAGGGCAGTCAGCTTCCCGGCAGGAGGGGTTCAGGAATGGCTTGGTCAAGAGGCTCAACCAGGGAAGAGCACCCAGGCAGTGACAAGGCCAGGAGGAACAGGATGCCGTACATCAACCTCAGCTTTATCCTCCAAAAGCCAGTCGCCAGAAGAACTATCTCAGGCCAGAACCATGTCATGGACTCCACCCTGAGAACAAACGTCTTCTCTCTCCCGGGTCCTGGCACACCCCCCAGCTTCGTTCGCCCTAGGAAACGCGCCCGGTGGGGCAGCCCAGGGAGGGATGTCCCTCTCCCGACCGTCCACCGCCGAGGCCCGCGCGCTTACCGTTGGCGTTCTTGCCGCAGATGAGATGTTCGTAGGGCTGCAGGACGCCCCAGAGCTCGGCGTCGTTGTTGATGACCATCTCCAGGGCCTCGGCGGACACCTCCCCGGGCCCTCCCCCTCCCCCTCCCCCGTCGGGGCTCTGGCTGGCCAGCACCCGGGCCCGGATCTCCTCCACCAGGTTCTCCATGCAGGCGGTGAGCGAGATGGCCGCGTACTCGTGGATGCGCACGGAGATGCGGGTGTCCACCATCCAACGGAAGAAGCGGCCCACGGAGAAGGTGAGGCCGCAGCGCGCCGACTTGCCGCGGCGCAGCCCGTCGCCCGCGCTCATGCTGTACAGGGACAGCGCCTTGACGGCCGCCAGAGCGCAGCTCTCGGCCAGCGCCCAGCTGTGCACCAGGCGCACGGCGCTCTGCACCTCGAAGCGGGTGCACTTGGCGTGCAGCACGCTCAGGCGCTGCGCCTCGCGGGCCACGCGGATGAGCGCCCTGCGGAGCAGCCCGGCCAGGCGCCGCGCAGCCTCGGCGGAGAAGGGCGGCAGCCGCCGGCCGCCCGCGCCCTTGCGCAGCACCCGGGCCACGTCTCCCTCGGTCCAGGGGAACTCCTCCAGCTCGGGGAGGCGCGGGCAGCGCGCGAAGAGGTCGGCCACCTCGGGGTCCTCGGGCAGCACCGTGTTCACCGTGTCCCAGCTGTTGTGGCGGCTGTTCATGGAGCCGGAGTAGCACCACCAGGCCGCCCCGCGGTGCTGCTGCGCCGAGGAGGTGAGCGCCTGCGAGTTGGACTTGGACGACGACAGGCTGAGGGAGCGGCACGAGTCCCCGGCCCCATACCCGGAGTCCAGGGTCAAGTCCTCCAGCGTCTTCAGGGTGGAGCTGTACGTCCCGGCCATGGGGAGCCCGCCGGCCGCGGCCTCGCCGAGCGAGGGGCGCTCACGACTCCATGCTCCCCTCCGCAGCGGGCAGGAACGGGCTCTAGGCTCTCCGGGGCGCCCTCCTTCCCCTCGGCGGCCACATGGCGCGCCCGCGGGCCGCGGGAAGGTGCGCGAGCCTCGGGGCGGCCGGGGCCCCCGCGCAGCTGTCAGCGCAACGGCCCCCGCCGCGCCCGCTCGGCCCCGCGGCGCGTCCACTTCAGCCTCCCGCCAGCGGAGCGTCGGTCCTGCGCGGGGAAGGAATCCCGAGAGAACAGGGCGGCGGCGGCGGCGGCGGTGGCGGCGGTGGCGGCGGCGGCGGGGGGGGGGGGGGAGGAGGAGGAGGAGGAGGAGGAGGAGGAGGAGGCGGCGGCGGCGCGCGAGTCCGGGACCAGCCGGCGAGAAAGCGCTCTGCAAACTTCTGCTCGGCGCCGGCCGCCCGCGCCGCTGGGTACCCCGGCCGCCGCCGGCATGCAAATGACCCGGGGAGGCCCACCAATCACCGGCCGCGACGGGCAGAGGCTGCACCAATCAGCTCCCCGGGGGGCGGTCACTATGCAGATTTCGCGGGGCTGCGGGGGGAACCCCGCGGCGGAGGAGGCGGGGCTGGAGGCCGCGGGTCGCGGGAGCGGCGGGGATGGAGGGGATGGAGGGGATGGAGGGGGCGGGGCCCGCGGGCCTGCGAGCCACCGGGCGCCCCGGGAGGCGGCAGCCGAGACCCGGAGCGGAGGGGTCGGGCCTTAGGCGCGGGAGCTGACGGTTTAAAGAGAAATGGAAAGGAGAGGCCAGTGCGCGCTGCCCCCGCCCGCCGCGCAGCCCCCTATCGAGCCCTCTGCAGCCGAGCCCCACCGAGGCTGGCTCGGCGCTGTGGGCCCGGGGGTGGGCGTGGGCGTGGGCAGCACAGCCGACTCGGGGCGCGGGTGCACGAGCCAGGCACCCCACCTCTCGCCCGGACTTTCTGGCAGGCCTCTCCCGTTTCCCGAGATGAAACTCCACTTGTGTTTAGCGGGGCGGGGGGAGGAGAGACGCCTTTCTTGCTTCTCGCGAAACGGTCTGGTTTTCCTTACGTTGCCGTCCAGGTTCCTGATGACTGGGAGGGCCCCAGGTCTGTGGTCCCCTCCCTCCGCGCCACGGGAAACTAAGGCAGTTTTCTGGACGTGACTCCGGGGGAGAGGGTCCTCACTTGCATCCGAGGCTCACAAGCGTCGGTGGCCTCCCCGTTACAAGGGTACAGAGCTGCTGGCTGTCAGGTGGCTCCTTGGGGTGCGAGGGTGCGAGGGTGCGAGTGTCCCAGAGTGTGTGCACGTGAGAAATGGGCCCTGGCACTGGCCGGGCTCGAACCCCCGGCTGCGCCACCTCCTGACGGTGGCGTCCCCAGTCCCGGGGTGGGATGGGTGCTGACCTCCGAGCAGCGCCGTTGTACGTCAGCCTGGGTCCGGGCCTGTGTCCAGGAGCGGTCGGTGGGAGCGGGTGCACGCCCGGTCCTCTCCGTCCCGCGGCCGTCCTGCAGCCAGGAGCACACACGGGCTCGACCGCGCCTGCGCCCCTCGGGGGCAACCGCCAAGTCCAGGAGCGGAGTGTGCACGCGTCGCCCCAGGTCAGCCCCCCGCGCTCCCGAATGGCTCCTTTGTGCAGCTCCAACCTCCGGCCGCGAGTTGGGTACGAACTAGAAATGTCTGGTTTGACTCTCTCCTTCGGAAATTAATGGCCCCTTTGCCTGTGCAACTCCTTTTTCTCCTTAGCGCTCTGGCCTCATTTTTCCTTTCTTCGGGTCTGTCTTTATGCAATATCGCCGCCTCATGGTCAGAGGTGGGAACGGGGTCGAGGATGGAAGTGACCCGAAAGACGCAAAGTCCGCAGAGATCAAGTTCACAGAGGACACAGGATGGGACTACCTCTGCCAGAACTGAAGAGGTCAAAAGTGGGCATTGAGGTTCAACGTGTCAAAAATTCGAAAAACAAATCCGATGCAATTTAAAACGTAGTCGGGGAAATATAATTTTAGAGCAAATGTTGCCCTCTAATGGACGTTTGGAGGAAAGAAGTGGCCCACAGGGCCGAGGACTGGCTGGCTGGCTGGCTGGGTTTCTTCTTTTTGTTGTGCGCACCCTTAAGAAGCAGAGAAAATGTCTCAACTGGATATTTACAACAGGGAAAAGTCATCTGGGAATGAGCTAATGCCATTTATCTTATATTTAAATGACTTGATGACATAAAAGTGTAAAGATAAACATGCATACAGCCCAATTTCAGAGTCTTGTGGATATTAAACTACTCTGCAAAGATTTGTTCCATGAAATTCAGCCATGGAAAATACTACTGGAAAACTATTGAGTTTCATTAATAACTAAATTCCAAGGAGAGGAAAAAGATGGCTGGGAACCTATACGTTAAAAAAAGCACTTAAGGCATATCAACTAGTTAGTCATAATGTGTGGAATTTATTGGGATTTGTTTTTTTTTTTTTTTTAGAATCAATAAACATTTGACATTATGAAACAATTGTAAATCAGGAACATCGCCCAGATCTTTGCTATTATGAAATTATTGTGTTTTTTTTAATGTGGTAATGGTAGTGTGGTATGTTTATTAAACATTACTGTTTTTTAGATATACATAGTGAAATGTGTGTTGTAATTTTTTTCATTAAAAAAAAGGAAGGAAATTATTTTGGGAAGATCTGGTGGAGGGGACTAGAAAGTTATGAAAGATGGCTAAGATTGTAGATCTCTTGTCTTTCATACGTTCACCAAAGTCTTCTATTGCCATCTTGAGGACAGGACATACAAAGTATACTCGGAGCGTGTCTCTGTGTTTTGTGTGATGGAGGGAGAAAGAAATGGAGGAAGAGAGAAAGAGGACAAGATACATTGGGCTATGTTAGAAATTAACCAACTGATTGATTTTCAGTTAATCATTTAGGAAGTTGGCAGGCAGGGTGAAAAACTTTAGATCAAGAAAGAAAAGACATGGCTTCTTATACATATGTTCACACGTGTGTGTGTTTAAGGCAATCTGCTGGTAATGTGCTTAATGTTAGGAATGCAAGTTATATTAGAAGAAGAGGAAATATCATCCCAACCCAAATCTGGCCCAAGCATCATTTTTGGAGAAAAACAACTGTCACATATCTGGACACATTAAAAAGAACATGATGAAACCATGGCAAATATTGGGAGAATTCCCAGTGGAGTAATTAAAAATCTGGAATTGCCCATGCAAAAATTACATAAGGGAAGAAACTTGAAATAAAGTTTAGAAACTTTACACCTTGGCTGATGTCTCATATTTTGTTATACAATTTTTTACAAAATCAAAATCAATCTGGAGATGGGGGCGGGGGGGGGGGATAAAATACCCTGGAATTTATCTTGAAAGTGAAGACGCTGAAACTATTTAAGTACAGATAGAACTCTTATATGAGAAAGATAGATTATGTCCTTGAGAGTGGCCAAGTTTCAAATTAGTTTGTGGATCATTTTCGGTAAATTCTCTCAATAATAGTTACTGAATGCCTACTGGGTTACGACTGTGCTAGACATGAGAGGTGCACTAGACAAGGTTCTGGCCATTAAACAAAACAGCAACAACAAAATGAAAACACATGCCCAATATGGAGAGAGACAGGCACGTGAGACTATTTTGCAAAATATACTTTGCAGAGCTGCTCAAAAACCACTGACCAAGGGCCACCGCCAGCTCTTTGACTCACCACACAGGTTGATTCACCTAGAGGAAAAATTGTACAAATATGAAGGGAGAAAATACTCGGTGGAATGCAAGGAGAGCTGAAAAAGGTGCCAGTGGTTGTACAAGCGTGCCATAGACAGTGGAGAAGTTTTGTAGCGGAAAATCAAGCAGAACCCTCAGTTGCTAGAAAAAGGAACCAATGGTGTGGAAAATGTGAGATAATCCTTCCATTCCATGCAATCCTTGTTAGCCCATTCCTGACACAGGAATTGTTTCTCTCTCTCTCTCTCTCTCTCTCTCTCTCTCTCTCTCTTTTCTGGACCTCATGACTAAAGAGATATACAGATCATTTGAAACAAAGAGCCCCCAGGATGACCAAGGGAAAAAGAAATACACTTCTGCAAGGCACATTCTGCAGAATGGTGTCATGGGTTTGGTCTGTGAAACAAGGATCAGTAGTTAAGTCTGAAAAATTCTGCATTCTGTTTCTCCCTGTAGTATATTCATGACGGACAGTATTTTATTTAAGGCTCTTTCATGTTTCCTTTAACCCAGTATATATCAGGCTTAACTGGGCAGAGAACTCCTCCTGCCCTGGGGCTACTGCAAAGTAATTGGGACTTTTTGTTTAGTTCGAAGCAGAAAAGACAGTGAGCATGCTTTGAGTCTGCTCAGGCAGTGGAGGTAAAGCAGGAAGAGATCCAGATAAATCCCAGAATAGAGAAAGGTTCCCCATCTAACCCCTGCGTAAAGCTGGAGTTTGGCAATCTGCTAGACAGATGTGATTCCAAAGGTAGACGTAAACCTAGAGCATTGGTCCACGGGGGAAAAGGAGGTGGTGTGGGTTCAGGGACTGGCACAAGTCACAAGGTTCACAAAGGGAACAAGGCTGGAGGCTGGTGTCTCTCCAAGGGGGAACTCTGCTTATTAGGCAGTTGGTATCCCAGGTTTGTTAGCTGCTATTAACAAAACCATCCGCCCCTGGAGATTAAGGGTAAGATTTTTAGGGGATGGTCTGGGGCTCCAAACTACACACATCTGGATGTTTTGGTTATCAATTAACTGGTTAACGCTGGTTATCAATTCACTGCAGTTGTGCTGCTTTCCTGTCCTGATATAGAGACCATCTAGAGTGAAACGCGATATTCAACTCTGCGATGTTTGCTAGACATTCATCGATAAGATCCATCTGGCATTCTTTCTACAAATCTGAACTCCCAGCCCCTCTTTTCTTGATGGTCTTGATTTAGTAAGCCTGGAGTGTGATCCAAGTGAAAGTATTTTCTACAAGCATTCCCAGATGATTCTTACCAAGACCTTTCTTGAAGGTCCTGATTCAGTGAGCCTGGGGTGTGATCCAGGTAAAAGTATTTTCAACAAGTATTCCCAGAATGCTAAGGCATTTGTCTCTTAAGCCTCAAAAATCCCTGAGGGCTGGTATAAAAATGCTTATTCTTGAGCCATACCTGCCGAGTTTTTCATTCAATAGGCCAGGAGCCTATGAGGCTTCATTTTTAGTGGATGGGTGATTGGAATGCGTGGAGTCCAGAAAACTTGCTCTTCAGCGAGTACAGAGGTTTCCAGCAGGTGGTGCTCTTGTTCATTTTGCTAAACATTTGTTCATTTAA